AGATGCTAAGATTGTCTTTAGGAGTGACAAGAATGGACAGGATCAGGAATGCTGTCATTAGAGGGACAACACAGACAGGAAGGTTTGGAGAAAAAGCTAGAGAAGCCAGATTGAGATGGTTTGGACATGTGCAGAGGAGGGACAGTGGATACATTGGTAGAAGAATGTTAGAGATGGAGCTACCAGGTAGGAGAAAGAGAGGAAGGCCAAAGAGGAGATATATGGATGCAGTGAGGGAGGACATGCAGGTAGTTGGAGTCAGAGTAGAAGATACAGAGAACAGGGCAATATGGAAATCAATGATTTCGCTGTGGCAACCTCTGAAAAAAAGCCAAAAGAAAAAGATGTGAATAAACACACAATCCACTTAACATAATGGAGTCAGATTTTTGTTCCTAAACAACATCACAGTATTAAAATAAATATACATAAATGGGAAACAATCCTTATTTGAAGTGGTTGTTAGCTAACAGCAAATTTAACAACATACCTGCAGGTTTCACAATTACTATGACATGTTACTGGAAAAGGAAAAATGGTACCAAGAAACACAGACAGGAAGTGGAGACTTTTCAAAATCCCTATGATTACAGTCTAAGAACATTAAAATAAAATGTTTGACGTGATGCGTCATATTTACAAATCAATACATGCTGGTGGCTGTAATTTACAAAAACAAACAAATCAAAAGCCCTTACACAATAGGAAAGGGTTGCCATTTCTATTGTATAGTAATTCAAACCCATGCATTTAAATTGATAAGGCATAAAGATTAGGATTTGGCAGATGATTTAGCTGATCCTGACAAAAACACATTATAGAAATCACTCCTGTCACAAGCTTTGGGGTGAGAGCAGATAAATATGCTGTGACACTGGGAAAAGATGTCCACATCTAAAGATTCAAAACACCTCCAGCACTCAGACATACACCAACAAATCCTTAATGGAAACACACTGCTTGCTGTGCTTGTCTTCTGACATATCACTGCAGGACAGCTACAGCAAGAGAGCGGAGGTACAGAGCAAGTGGAGGAAAAACAGAAGGTGGAAAATAGGAGAGGTGGGAGGAGACATCTGGGCTTACATTACTGTGCAATGTAACAGAAACGAAACAAGTCCATCCTATTATAAGCACTGTAAATCCATAAACCAAATCACCTTCTACGTAAAATAGATTTAGTACGTTAGCCATATAAAAAAACACAACAAACAGGGTAAATGTCCCCTGACTGCAAGAGAAAAACAAACGCATCCAACCTAATCAGAACTGCAGCAACTCACTCGCCCTCCCCACCCCCACCCCCACCCCTCTCTTTCTCTCTCTCAGTTTATCCCAGACACACACCACCGGCTCAGGGTGTCTGCATCTCACACTGCTAGCTTTATGGTGCCATAAACACGCTGAGGTTGAAAAGTATGAAATGGAAAAGGTGGGTGATGTAAGTGGATGCTGGGTTAATATGACTCAGCAAGGAAACAGCACCCAGGAGTGATTGAGGGGTTTCCTTGGAAATCAACCACCACAGATGGCATTAATAATGTATATGTTGTAAATGCATAATTTTATCCAATCTGTCTACAACTGTTGCTAAGAAATGTAAATAAGTGCAGCATGCAATTTTTAATGATTCATTAAATCCTATAATAAGATCATTATTAACCATAAAGGTGGGTAAACATCTATCCCAGTGTGCAGTATCTGTCCCATCCTATTCAGTGCTTTCCTGGAAATCCGAAATATTTACCAATGCGTCCTTACTTACGTATATAGAGGCTGTAAATACAACAGAGTAACAAGCAGAGTGTGGAGCAAGTGTTGCCCCATATCCTGCCCTAATCATCACAGTGTCCTTGAACCATGTGTCTGTACAACTTATATCTGGGTCAGCCGCCTCAATGATTAAACCTACATAATCCTAAAAATAGGCAATTGCAAACTCAGTCCAATGCAGCAGTAAATTATTGGATAGATTAAACTTGATGTTTTTGGACTGTTGGAGGAGGAATGTATCTATAAAACCCATGCACACAAAAACTGCGGCACAAGAGTTGTGGAAATATTTTAGCTCCATGGACAGCTCACCCTCAGCACTCAGCCAAATTAGCATTTTGCATTTAACCTTTTATTAAGAACACTGAATGTAATTGAATCTGAACACTCTTCAGTAATGAGATCTCAAGAAAACTCATGGGAAATTTACATCCTGTTACCAAATTAGCTCTACATGTTAAAAATAGCCCTACATTTTCTATTTCTAGCAAAACTTAAATGTCAAACTCAAGGCCTGAGGGTCAAATCTGGTCTGTTATATGATTTTATGTGGTCCACCATTTTTCAAATATATTTTCTTCTGCAAAAAGTAATTGTTTTTATAGTTGTATAGTTCTAAGCATGTAGCACTTTGGCCCAGAGGTAATGTCTCTGTCATTAGTGTGGAACCCCAGGGCTCACCTCCTGGGCAAGCTCAAATCCCAGTTAGTTGGTACCTTCCAAATCCCAGGCGGTTGGTACCTTCCAGTGGACTCACCACCCACAGGAAGGTTCAGGGGGGTTGGTACGGTGCAATGTGATTTGGGTGGCGGTCGTGGAGACTGCTGTCCCCGCGACCCAGTAACGGATAAATGGATGAAAATGGATGGATGGATGGATAGTTCTAAGCACTGCAGAGCCCAAATTTTTCTTAATATTTGATCTTAATTTTTTACAAAATATATTTAAGATTTGTTTTATGTACTGTGTTTTTATTTTAATTTTCCTCCTGTTAAAAATATGCACAATTATAAGGCAGTGTGTACCAAACTGCCAGTATTTACACTACTGATATAACATATGATATTTCTTTTAAAAGAATTAAAACTAAATGCTTAACAATTCCCATAAAACATGCATTAAAAATAAAAAAGCCTCAATAACAGAAGTAGTTTTTACAGGGTTTTAAATACAATATGTTCTATTATTAAGCAAAAAAAACTCGCTATTTATTTAAGGAAAAACAGGAGCTGGTACTGGCAACATGCTGAAATATGATATTCCAATGAGAAGAGG